ACCTTCAATAAAATTCACCATAATTACTTAATTTATTAGTAAAAGCATCCTGAAAATCGCGTGTTTAGTTATCTTAGTTTATTTTAACAAGAATATTACTTTATGTACTGTCGAATTAAATAGATTATTGTATAGTTTTGATGGTATTCCATAATTTATTACGAGTATAATTGTGGTCTTAAAACTCATTTTTATCTTATTTTACTCTTCTTTTATTGATAAAGTTAAACAAGGTCTGCCGCCATAGACTTACGCATAGAGTTTCAACTTTCACAAGTGCTTTGTAACAGCCTAGACTGAATAAATGATATTGATTTGATATATTTTATTTATTTCAACATCGCCATTTGGGTATGTAACTATCCATTATTGATTGGCGATTGATTGAATGATTTCGATAACTAAATATTTATTATTATTCATCATCATCGGTCTAATAATGCCCCCACTACTGCGATAGATGGAATCGAATAGGGAGAATGGTCCCCCACGCGGCCCAGTGCGGATTGGTGGGTGTTAAAGATATTATTAATTGAAAACAAATTAAAAATTAGTTATTGACTATTGCACGGACATTAATAAAACATTAACAAAATAGCATATAGAAAAATTGTTTCTAGTTTTTATTTTTTTAATTTAACCTATTGTTGACCTCACTTAAATCACAGGGTTTCTAGAAGGTCACAATGGACAATTATTATCCTTTTAAGATTATTTTTGTGTTTATCCTTGAAGTACGTATCTGCTTACGCGATAAATGTGTATTGCACCTTAAAAGCTGCATATTAACATCTCGAATCACAATAGATGGCCATGACATACTCTTTTTGTTAAATATGGACAGGAAAAATAAAGACTGAAATTATCTTTCAATAACTTAGTCATTCCGTAAATACTAAATTTAAAATATTTACGTAATTATGCTTTTGTAATGATTTTGAAAAAAAAAAAGCTTCGCATTACTTACAGTGTGCCTAAACTTTTTAATATCTTGTTAGAATATTGGCCACGGGATATCAAAGTTTTCATATAGCATTAAACAAATCACATTGACGAAATAATGAATGTATCCTTATTGAACATGAAATTTTATAAGAGTGTTGTTTCACCATGTAGACATATATTGTAATATCTTCTTGTTTTAGCCTAAAGAATTAGAGATGTAGATATATACTATTGAGAATAGTTACATATACTATATAAAGACAATTTTAAGCCGTATTTCTAGATGCGATAAGGTTTACAATTACTCACATGTAGTCATTCTAAACAACGATATTATTATTTCTAGGTACATCCGCACACGTTGGTGTTTACATTTTTTTTATATGACCATTAATATTTTATTTGCAACAAATTATAGATCTAATTTAACGCATTTCTTTCATTTTACTACTCGTACACAAGCGAAACTTGAAAATCAGTATTGTTGCAGTATAGGTCGGGTTCAAGATTTGGAATGATTTGGCTTGGGAATGTTTTTATGTTATCTGAAATCTCTAAGAAATCCATAGTTAATTTACAGGTTCATATCGTGTAATCATGATGGTGTTGTCCTGATATTAATATTTATAAATTAGAATTTGCAATTTTATGGCTTATCATTAAGTATACCTTTCTCATAATAAGCCATTGATGCTGCAGTAATAATTCGATACACTGAAACAACGGTAATAGATATACAGCTACACGAATAGTAAATCACACTGACTGGCAGCATTGCTAGTATGACCACCCCATGCCGGAGTAGCTCGTACGCTGGATTATATAAAACCAAGTCAATATAACAAATGAGGTTTTCTAACTTTATTTTTATTGTTTCGGGCGTAGGTACTGTTTATTTCAGAACCTTCTTTATCACGAAATCCCATCCAGTTTAAGCGACTTAGTTTCCCATCTGAACAAAGCATATAATGTTGTGTAATATTAATATTGTGTATATTATTTAACACTTTTGTGCTCGTCCCTATTAGAGTTCGCGTTTTCGCGTATTGCACAACTGCCCAGGGGCTCTATTTTTGAATCATTCGTCTCGCGTCGAGCGCTCGTTTTCTACTATCACTCGCATACAACGTTCGCTAAGCGACGAGTGGTTCATACCATTCGTTGCAGTCGAGCGATTTAGAAATGGCGAATTTGTTAAGTCGAACGAAAATCAGTAGAAAACGAGCGCTCGACGCGAGACGAATGATTCAAAAATAGAGCCCCAGAGCAGCACACTGCCCACACGCAGTTACGTAATCCATTTAAAACTAGAATTGAATACCACCTAATGACACAGACCACTAACAAAAGACAATTATCTGTCAAAGCGGCATAATCCGTCTTCTGAGGGTGATATTTTATAATAAGTATGTTTAGGTTCCTGATATGTAAACAATTCAACATAAATTACAGTAAAGTAAAAGAGATTCTGAAACCAACGCATCAAAGTTAAGTTAATTTAGGCTATAAAGGTTGTCTTGAAAATTTGTTTTAATCATAATACTGTCATTTAAATTTACCATAGACTTGTGAGGCCATTGTTATCGTGAACTTTAAAGGAAGTGCACACCAAATAGGTTTTACTGAGAATGACAATAAAGCATCGTGTAAACTGTGTAAAACTTTTGTCGTGACATCATTTCTCCGTGTCATAAGTCATGCGGTAAAATAAAGACAAAATGACAATCAACTCTTCATGCAAATAGCAACGGGCTTAATGAGTCACGCTTATGTCTGCTATTGTATATAACAGAGTGAGTTTCCCGTTATAATTCTAATAATATTTCATTGAGCTAATATTGTCATCTTTAAATAGTTATTTGTAATTAACAATAAACTAGACAAACATAGGCATGCTCTCTGACCTATATATGTTGCCTAGATAGATGTCTACGTGTTTCATTTATTGTGGTGTACCGCCGAGCAATAATACAATTTGAACAAAAAACGACGTGCAAGTCAGCTCACGATCTGATAGTGATTTCAAGCGCAAGCGCAGGTCGCGGGCCGTAATGACCCCGGCTTTTGCTTTGGAGACTAACGCAAAAATTAAATTGGTTTAACCCACAAATGATGCGATTCGAGCAACGGATAGTATTATTACAAGCAATATATGTTTTACTTGCTGTTCCCGTGACTTCCCCCGCGTAAATTATAGCCTGTGTCTCGCATAAAATGATGTAGCTTCCCATAGGCCAAAGATTATTTTTTAATTGGTCCAGCAGTTTTGAACCTTGTTCGATGCAAACAAACACTTACAGGTTTTAAATGAATGTAGATATAGGTAACTTAAGTTTACAATTCAATATTGATATAGAATGGAGCAGATCTGATGATAGAAACATTTTTATATGTTTTGGTAAGGACTTTCACAGGATTTGATGATGAAACAAGATGATATCTGAAAACAAGGTTTTTTAAAAAATAAGTTTGAACTAGAGTGATTGATTGATAAGTCTTAATTATGTTTCTAGCGTGCTTCACTACTATGTGATGCGTTACATATTTTTATTGATGCCAATTTTCGACACAAACAATATTTTTTTCTGGAATACATACTATTTTAAAACAGATAAATAGGGATGTATAGGCTTAAGAGGTTTTTAAGCCTTTTGAAGGTTAATATAAAAAAAAAGTTGATCCTTATTTCATTGAGTAAATATTAGTACACTGTAGTTTCCGATCAAGACAAAGAACAATTTAAATACTTTAGCCCTATTTCGAAAAGCGCGATGAATTGCCGAAACGGAGTGGTCGCGCGTGCGTGGAGGTCAATGACCTTTGGGATGTTTGGGAACAAGACGTGGTAGAACTGACGTCACGTTTCCCATGGACTAAGACGCAAACAAAAACTATAATCACATCTATCATCATTTCATTTTAAATTTTGAGATTTTGTAGCATGAACATGAGCAGATTTTGTATATAATCTCTTATGTTATTAATTCTAATTCTGTGAAAATTACATTACTTAAGTGTAGTTTTTTGTGTAGTTTTTTCGCAAAATGTTGTATACTAACGTCAATAGTGGTAATTCTGTTGCACTCAATTACAACATTAAACCTCTAAAACGACTTTATCAATTTTGATAACGAAGGTAAGACTACGGAAAAGGATTAAAACAAAACTATATATTCTACTATTCTAGAGCGTTGTTTAATTCAGACTGCTGTCTTGCGAATTCGCGTAAATTATAGCCCATGTTACCCGCCTATAATGCAGCTTCCCGTTGGTGAAAGAATTATAAAAATCGGTCCAGTAGTTTCTGAGCCTATATTGAATCGGCTTAAACAAAAAATTCTGGAATAACATTCTATGTGTAACCAAAACTAAATGGACAATAAAATCCTTAAATTTATTTTATTTCCAATTTTTGGTGTCATGTAAATTTTCTACCGAGGTTGATAATTTTCTATGAGTGTCTGTCAGCTCAACTCGTTTATTATAAACTATACTAATGTCTGTCATAATATTTAATGATTCAAACAATAATACATTCCAATATGAGTCGGTTTTGTTTAAAACTAGTGTACTAGTAAGTCAATTAGCCTGATGAATTCCACGTACAATAATTTTTCAACTGGCATCCAAGTCAGAAATTAAAACAGAGAGCTGCAAAACAACGCAAATTCAAACAACCGTTAAAAACGTAATTCGTTAACATTCAATTTCCCAACCACATCCTTTCGGGCGCAATAAAAATCTAATCATAACATCTTGGGCGCTTATCGAAAACGAGAATCAGTCGTAACACACTGAAAAAAGGTCAGAAGCTTATTGCATTTTTCGTTCAACAGACGACGGGACAAGCCTAAATTAAAGTTAATAAAACCTCTAACAAATCCTCCTCACCTTGTTCTAAATTCGAAATTCTGCAGAAACTATTTTCGTTTGTTTATAATTAGAATTATGACTGTACCTTTATTTTTACTTATCGCTTCCAAGTTGATCATACTGCACTCTTTACACTATACTTCTGACGAAGCTGCGACCACGTGTGTTGTGTAGACAGCCTCAGGCCTCAGTCGACCGATGTCCGTGTAGTGTATCCGCACAACACATTAACTAAAATAGATAGTAACAATAAAACATTTCTTTTTATATATTGTAATACAATTTCCTTGAAAAGCCGGCTCCAATTTGTTTAGTGAACGTAGTGCTAAATTCATATTTTTGTTCAATAAAATTCTGATCCGTGATGTTTTATTCGCTGCAATCGATAAATACTTAGGTAGTCGGAAATGATCGAATTGGTGAAAGTGAACGATAAAAGGGCGATTGGCACAATGCGGGACATAGGGGCGGATTCGTTCGTGTGCCGCGTGCAATACCTGAACGATTTGGATCCTTTCTCGGAGTACAACGTGAGAGAGCCCTCGAGGCCACTGTACCACACATTCAACACAACAATACCACTGTCCTACCAAATTGCTGCGGTGCACCGATTGCTGCAAGCGCCACACAGGGTAAGTGATAGATTATTAACCATTCTCTATTCTATTGCTTTGTAAAATGTAACAGTACAATCACAATAATGAACATAATACATAAATGTAACTTGACAAGAAAATAATGTAAGTTTTCATTTATTAATTTTAATTAACTTAAAGTAAAAATAAAACTCTACATATATAGTTCTCAAAATGTCAAATACAATTTAGAGAAAAAGAGATATTGCTATCATAATTAACCGAATCTAATTGTAGTCTTTAACATCCAGACATTCTTAGATACATTCAAAAAATTCCTGATAGCTTTATTAATACGAACTATGATTACCTTTTTGTTTTGATATAATTATTATGCACAATGCGGGACATAGGGGCGGATTATGATAGCTAAAAATTTCGATTTTCGAATGCCTTTCAAATTATCATTAAATAACATAAAAGGAAGACAACATAATACACAAACACCTCGATACGAATAACAGTACGATATTGAATATCCACAAATTGTATAAACCTTATTTTCAACGTGATTACTAATTCTCTCACAGAAACATAGGCATGTTTATGCCTGGGTGGTTTTTATTATTTTTACTCTATTCAATAAACCAAGAAACAAGACTTTCTAAATTAAATCTACACTGACAAGATCCATTGGTCCTGCAAACAATCAAACATCTGTTTGCAAACTTACAAATTTGTTCGATTCCAAAAATAACCCATTCCAAAAGTTTGCGCTAAATCTATATACACATATGAATGGTATTTAACAGATACCTAGTATAAACTATGTTTAATAGTGGTGTGCTGTTATACTCCCTCGGTATTTATCTAAAATTATCCGTTCTAAATATCATAGCGAGACTCAGGTGTGCGCAGTGACATAATATTATGATTTTGCGTTTCGTGATCCGTATCTACCTAGGTGTATTTTGCGAAGGCATCTCGCAAAATGCAAATGCGCTCATTTCACATCGCCTCTAAGAAAATAAGTGCTAACAATGCATCAAGTAATAATCATAATAATGAATTAATTTATAACACTAGGTCGGACAGAAATATCGAATATTACCTCAGATATCAATGCGCTTCACTAATTTTTACTTTAATATTTATTTTTAATCATAAAAAAATAATCTGTGAATAATACCAGTATATGTTATGTGTGGCAAAAGCATTGTACTTTCATTATAGTGTGTATAATATTTCATTATTAATATAATGTATTTTAAAGCATTATTGAAAAAAAAAAAGTATTGTGTTTCTGCACTATTTTTTCATATAAACTGAAGATTTATTCCTTTCTATATACAAATACAAACATCACATGGCCGGTGCATCACAGTTCATTAAATATTTTTAGCCAACTTCAAAAAAGGAGGAGGTTTCTCAATTCGATCATGTTTATCGTTTTTATTCCTTGTAAAGCAATATTTATTTTGGCACAAATTTTATTTAATAATATTGTCGTATTTAGGAGAAATTTGTTTTTTTTTTTTGTTTATAATAATATTATTTGACTATATAAAACACAACATTTTTTTTTTGTTTCATTTGTTTAGATAGCTCAAAAAAGCGAGGCCGCTAAGAACTATGTCGATAGTTATATTGCTCTATTATATGAAATATTTTCATTTCCAAGATAAATAACGCCAATATTGACCACTTCACGCAAAAACACAATCCAATATATAGGCTCAGCCGCCTAATAGGGCTCTTTAAGTATTTTAAAGATTTATTTAATTGAACTTCTGTGTTATCACGGCTCTGCATTCGTCTACGAGTTCGAAGCGGTTCTTATAACATTATATCAATGCTGGAAAAGTTGAGCTAGAAATAATGGTGAGCCGACGGTAAGCCTAGTGGAAGACAATGATGGTTAACAGGTTTAGTACTTAGCGCTGGCGCAGACGAGTGCGCACCGGTATGACAATTGAATGTTACGAGTTAAATACGAGTCAGTGCATTAAAGTAGCTTTAAAGTTAGCTTAGGATAGCAATCATACAATTTATTCTGTACTAGCTGTTTTCCTGCAAATTGTAGCTTATGACACCCGCTGTGATACAGCTTTGCATAGGTGAAAGAATCTTCAAAATCAGTCCACTAGTTTTTGTATAAGTTTTTGCATACATTGTAATATTATTAATATGCCATTATTTTGATTCTGTTGATCATACTCTAAGGGTCAACGAGCAAACTTAATGAATAGAGACACAAAGTGAATTACATAAATCCCAAAAAAGTAGTCAATAACAATATTTTTTTCTACTATTATATTCCACTGGATTCGCCCACGTGGTTTACACTACGACTTGACCGTAATTTATCCCTAGGGAACCCTTTAGTAAGATAAAAGCAGAAATTATAAGTAAAACCAGTTTAGCCTTGTCCTTACATCAAATTAATTAAAACTCGTTCAGTAGTTTTTGCGTCGACTAACAAACCTACCTGTTACCTCCATCCATCCTCGCAAACTTTCACATTTATATTATTAGTGGGATTTGTATAGCGAAAATTGACACTCTTTGTACCTAAGGTGTGATATTAAGAAATTTTATAGAAACCATAGTACTCGTTGTTTGCGAAAAATTTATTTTATGTCATTCTATGTCGCGGCAATGCCAACCTGTACTTATCGGTCTCAAAATAAGTATTTATAAGTCTTCTTTTTTGTTTATTTACTTTGCACTTAAATCCGCGAGAATCACATCATTAACACATTATGACATCATATTCAGCCCACGTATAACGACTGTAGTGGTGACATCACACTCATAAGGTGGTGTTAATGTTGGTGATAATATAAATATAAAACAGGAAATCACTTAAAGAATCAGACAATGCAAAAAAAAAACACTGCGATAGTCAAGTTGGACTCATCGATTTAATGAGGGTTCCGCGGCGGTTATATTGTTATTATAGAATAATAAACTTTTAACGACACTAATATCACTAAAATAAAGCTTAACGGAAAATCTACTAATATACATAGAAAACGCGAAAAAAAGATAACATTTGTTGCATGTGTATGGGAGCCTCGAATGTTAGCAGCTACAGAAATACTGAATAAATACAATATATACATACTAATAATTGCATCTGTGTTCAACTATCTAGCTGTCGCGGTTCATGGGATACAATCAAGTGTCAGACAGACGGACGAAGAAACGGGACCTTATTACTGAGTTACCTCAGTAATAAGGTCCCGTTTCTACCCTTAGGGTACGAAACCTTAAAAATGAACAGCAACCCAAAGTATCATGTCAGCGATTAATATAAATGATAGATATCATTATAGAATTATGTTTATTTTCCGTGAAGTACTGTCTATTACTGTATTGCGCGACATATAGCGTTCCGTACAATAAAACTCATTACTTCGTGGAAACAATACAGTGTATTATGGATAGCAATACGTATCGTTTACTTTCAAAATTCACATAATAATTTGATTCATTAATTAATAAATTATAAAAATGTTAATACTCCGTGCTTCGGATACGTCTCAGGTGCATCTGCAGTCGTATATACTCGTACCTTTCAATAATTTAAGTATTGAGAACATAGACTTTATAAGTCAATCTTCCCGTTGCACATACGTCCATTAAAATTGGTCAATAATTATAGCGACATTACCGATACTAATTTTCAAATTTTGAACATCTATTAGAGCTTAAAGTCGTCGTTAGGAATTAAAGGACGTTTACTTTTATTCTGGTATACCTAAAACAATTAAATCAAAAGCAGCAGTGCAGTCTGACATATCTCGGTAGGAACTTCTATCATGGTATAAATTTACACATCAATCTGGAAAAATCTTAATTATTAAATATAACGTGATAGGATTTCGAAAGAACATCAACATTTCTATCTACTATTTTCCTTTTTAGTACTTTACCGTACCCAAAAGGAAACCAGTTCAAATTTATACATATTATGTATTTATATAGTAACTTTAAAATTTAATAGGTAATTTAATTAAAATTAAACAAATATTAAACAAACGTGATTTTTTTTGCTCATTCTCGGCATAACCCTTCATGCGCGAGCCCAAAAATACCAGCCCAAAAAAAGTGCGAGACTCGGCCGATTTTTTTCTAAGCTGTTACGTTGACAATATAAAGAACAGATGATGTTCCACGGGCTGGATGCTTATAGGGTATTTTTGTAACACATGTGCGTATTACGATTGAATCACAAATATGTGTCATATGTTTTTTAGTGAAAGGTAATTACATTACCTACGTGTACCAAAAAATACTCAGTATATGCTGGTGTTCTGTGTTCTGTTGTTCATCCATTAACGTGTATTATTAGAGACAAGTCACTGTTTTATCATTCGCTTACTCATTATTAACACAATCACATTGACCCATTTTTTTCGTGGGAAATTCTGTTAATCATATTGCAAATATAAATGGTAGATAACAATTATGTAACAGTTAGTTGATTAAAAAATTTATTAATTTTACAATGAAGTTTTGAACTGTATTCTTGAAAGTTAATTTTTAAAAGTACAAACCAAAGCGGTTCCCGCTCTTTGTCAAATCTTTTAAACTACAATAAGAATATTAATGAGGTTTTCATCAATATACAGATGACTCAAGACGATGATTTATATGCACTTATATAACACAGGATCAATCAAGCGAAACTGCTGGTGGATAACTAGTAATATATTATCAGCCAGTTATTTAAACATCCATTAAAATTTCAATTAAAGGCGTTATTAAACCTTAATGGACGTTTGTGCAATTGAATGTATATTAAATAAATAAACTCGGAATAAAGTAGTTTCTTTGGATTCCTCCAAAAGTTAAGTTGGATTCCATAAGTAGTGATCGTTTCCGACTGATTAAGTTATATTTACTGTATGCAATGTATACACAACAAATTACTACTATCTACCTACTATCCTACTATCGTACAATAACTTATATTATAAATACAATTTTATATTAGAAAACAACAACTTTATGAACTATTTTATAAAGATATCAAAGTCTTTTTTTCGAAT